TATTTAGCTCCTGTCACATTACCTCGTTCTTTCTCAATTTTATATAAATCGGTGATAAGTAAAGTCCAATTTTGCTTACTACCCAATTGGGCAATTACATAAGTATTGTTATTTAAGATTGTAGAGATGCTTATAGAGCTTGTTATTGTAGGATTTGAAAGAGCCCAAGGAAAAACTTCATTATTGTCATTCAAAATATAGCAAGCAACCACATTTTTACCACCAATATCAATACCTCGTCCGCATAAGATATAACCTCCGTATGGTAATGATTTAATATTATATTTTTCAATTCCTGGAACCGTTTGGAAATTACCCCCCAATGGCTTAACATTATATGCAGCTCCTGAAGAAAGAAAATCAACCTTTAGATAAAAAATGTCTATATCATTTCCACTTTTATCTTCACCAGTTACTATACAAGTTTGTTGTCCAACTTCAACACATGAAATATCGCAACTAATATCAGTAAAAGTAATTCCTAGCATTGAAAGTGGATAAAGAATAACAGGTTTTCGTTTAGTAGCTAGGCCAAACTCTAAAATTATGGTATAGATGCCTCCCTGTGAAATAAAAGGACTCTGGAGCAAGGTTGTAGAACCCGTAGAATTAGCATAAACTATCGCATATCTTCCACCCACCATTGGAACGGCTGTAATTAATAGTTTAGTAAAATTTGAAAAAAGTAATATATCTTCTGCTAGTAATAGGATATCTCCCGCTTCAGTCCTACATTAAAAAAAAGTAAAGTAATTAATTAAATATACTTTTCAAAATTAAAATTAAAATTTTATTTAAAAGATCAATTAATTACACATCGTATTGCTGCCAGATATAATCAGTAGTATTTGTTTGTGGTGACAAACGGAGAAATCCTTTGTAATTCACAAAAATCCCAGCGCGGTTAGATAACCAATGATTATCGGTAACATTAACATATGCTAGTCCAAATGAAATCTTGCTATAAAAATGAAAAACAAAATATTAGTAATTGTATACATATATACTTAGTTTGTTTGAACTTTAACTAACCCATAACTCTTTCCATTTAAATCAACAATCATTGCCCATTCATTATAAGCAAATGGATCATCTAAATCCGTAGTTTTTATATAAGTTACTAACACAAAACAATCTCTTATAGGATAAATTTCAATAGGACTCATATATACTCCGTTAACGTACAATAGAAAGTTAACATCTGGAATATCTAATTTCATATCAACTGGTACAACATTCCCATCAGGATAAATCGTTCGAAGTGACAAATGTTTATCTATCCAAAGTTTATCATCATTTTCATTAAATTCTGGACGAATGATATGAACAACTATCCTGTTATCAGCATAACTAGCTATTTTATATATAATGGGAGTACTGTCGCTGGCGTTCATAGTTGGCATATCATTATATGTAAAATCATTTTGTGAATTTATTGGATATGTCACCAATGAAATGATCAATAAAATCATATAATATTTAAAGAGTTTCATTTTTTTATTTTTAAAAAATTATGGTAGTATTAAACTTGTTTATGAATAATTGATACGAAGATAATTAATCATTTTTTGCTCATGTTGATGTTTAAGGAAATTAACTTATAGTTAATAAAATTTTTAACTAGCTATTTGCATATTTTCGCACGAAATGCCATTGGTTAACTCATAAAAAAATTTTTTTTCAAATGGAATATGAAAAGAAGTTTTGTTGAAAAAAGTAAACGTTAAACAAAATAATTAAACTACAGTAAATGTATAGATTAATTTCTTATTTTGTTAAATTACGCCGTCCTATATACTATTTAATTAAGGAATTAAGGAAACCAAACATTCTGCATGATGTATGCAAGTCTTGTTTCTCAAATTTCTCAAATTTCGTGTAACATTTTCTTAAAAATTTTTTTCATCCTTAGTTCTCTCTAAATTGATACTATAAACTTATGGTTAAAACAATTTCTGTAAAAAAGATACCGTTGTAAATAAAAAATAATTTTTTTTATTATTATAATTTTATTATATTTCGTCGATTACAGCAATTTGTTTTATTTCATTTTGTTGTTGCATCTAATATATTAAATATGTTGATATTACATAATATTGAAGGTACACTACAGTCGCGTTATGTTTTTATATATCGTACCGGTTGTTAATCTGTTCAATACGAAACTTTATCAATGCTAAATGATTCGTTTTAAAAGTATACTAATTCTGAATAAGATTTAAAGAAAATAGAACTTTATTAACTTCTATGGAAAGAATATATCAGAATCAGAAAGAGCGGAAACCCAAAAAGTCAATAATGAGTCGGATTATTTTCACACAGAGAAAGGAAGGGATAAAGTACTTACTCCTTGACAACTAACGATTCTCTTAATAGAAATTAGAATATTAAAAAGATGATTGATTATCATCTAAATTAATCAATGATGTTTGTGCATGAATTCTATAATTGCGTTTATGGCTTTACTCAATTAATTTTTGATTTTATTAATATAAAAAAGGATAATTAAATATTTTACTTGGTTTACAAATGAGGTCATAACAAATTTGGTAATCTACAAGTATAAAATGAAAAGTAATTTTTAATTTTGACATGCGTCAGATGACTAATGCTGGACAAACCTTCTCAAGGCATTATAAGATCAGCCCAAAATAGGCCCATAATTTAGGCCAGTCGGTATCCAACGCAAAATTATAGTTAACGCACAACAAATACAAGTATCCTTGTTTACTTATCATAATTTTTGTTACAGTTAATTGCGTTTACCCATCTCATGAACTGAAGAATGCAATCAAACGACAAGATGGAGGTAATTGAGTGGAGTGGGAGGAGGTGATAGTTTCATTAGCGTCCTGTAATAACGATACTTTTATTACAAACTAGTTGGTATCTGCTGCGCTGCAGCAGGCTATGAGAATAGAATCATTAGTAATTGAATTATGTAGTAGAGTATTTGAAGTTTTATTTTATTTATTACGGTATAATATAAAAAGTGTTTGTTTAATGGGTAAGAGATAAAATGTATAATAATATATAATAAACTAATTAATTTATATTTACATGCATATTTTCCTTGTCAAAAACCCATCTTCCACATATTAATGCATAATAATACATTTCTAAATCATGCAAAACCGAAGAGATTGGTTTTATAGAATCCATAGTAAAAATTTTTTGACGTTCTTTGAGAAATCTTGTAACTTGCCGATCCATTGATAAATCCTCTATCCAACCCCTTGGAATCTATCTGGCACAATATGGTTACTGATGATGACTTTTTTATTTTATTTGAAAAATTGAGACAAAAACTTGGAAAATAATCGTATATATATATTTTTTTGCATTTTTTTTTGTATTTTTTTTATAAAAGAAAAAATTGAAAAAACAACTAAAAATTGGAAAATTAAATATAAAAGGTTGTAATATATTAACTATAATTATAATAATAAGAGAAATTCAATTGTATTGTTAAAAAATGAGATGATCTATATAACATTGAAACAAATTTCGATTGTATTTTAGATATAACGATAAGATATATAACTCGTTGTTAATTAAATAATTATTTGCACTAACTAATTTAGTTATCACGTAATAAATTAGCTTAATTTTAAGTCTTTAGTTAATGTAAAAAAGAATTATTTTTATTCAGCAATGTTCGTTCGTGGTCACATTAAGGGAAAATTCTAGTGCAGTACAAAACGGATTGAGAACGTTACCGATCGACATGGGATTCTTTTATATTATAGATTATAGATTATAGATTAGAAGATTCATAAGTTATTGCATCAATCAAAAATATTTCTGATAATTCTTAAATAGTATTAAATGAGATTAAATGAAACAATTTATTAATGCGAAAAATATATTACATAATAATCGACTAATAATTTTCGTTTGTCTATTATTTTAAAAAAGTTCTTGTAAAATTCCTCATAATGTAGAAAAGCCGTGCGATAGCCATCATCAAATCAGGAATGCATCATCCCTGGCCCTTTATTGTCTTTGGTCCGCCAGGAACAGGCTAGTAACCTTTCCCTTGATTTCAAATATAATTTATATCATTTATTTATGATTGCTACTATCGTTACAGGAAATAGTTGAAGCAATGTGGCATGATAATCCTATAATCAGGATTCTCGCTTGCGCGGCGTCAACACGGCGGCTGAATTGCTATTGAAAAAGTTGAGTATACGTTTGTTTCACAAAAAAATGATTCGAATCAACGCAGTTTCGCAGGAACCTAAAAAAAATATAACAGGCATTTCATCGCTATTGTGTGATAGACCAGAACAGTAATTACAAACTTTCAACCGTGAGCTATATTGAGAAGCATCAGGTTGTCGTGACTACTTGTATCATTGCCGGAACTGTGTATTCTCTTGGAGAAAAGAAGAAGCCTTACACGCATATTTTTATTTAATTTATTACAAAATAGCATATCAATTGGCTTTCTGGTGTTATACGTTATTTATTACATAATAGTCAGGACAAGCAATGGAACCGGAAAACGTAACCAGAAACACAAAATTATTTTAGCAGGTGACCCAAACAATTAGGTCCACTTGTCCGTTCTCCTATCACAAAAAGGCTTGGCCTCGGACAATCTCTCTTGAGAAAAGTGAATTCTATGATTTTGGCGATACAATTATTTACGGGGGGGACCAAAAAATCACTGGACTGGTAACTTTTCCCGCCTCCCTACAAAGAATTATCCGATCATATTCTGGGATGTTAAAGGTGTGGAAAATCAAGAGGGATAATCCCATCTCGATTCAATGCTTATGAGGCCGTTATGTATTAGATATTGTAGTAAAACTTCAGGAAAAAACGTCAAATTAGAAGAAATTGGTATCGTCACGATCTACGTTGAAAAGATCAAGTTATTGGTAAAAAAAAAGAATATTTCTGGGTAAATATTGGTACAGTGGAGAAGTTTCAAGGCCAAGAAAGGCGCATCTTTCAACCATTGTTTCCAAAGTTTGTTTTTAAACAACGCTTTACCATTCCCAATTATCACCACCAATAAAAGCCTTTGCTCGAGTTACTGCAACGCAGAACCTTCTCGGTTCCTCAAGGAATGAAACAAATTCTGTTCGAACAGGGCATGAATGAATTTTGGATAAAGTTCTTCCTAATAAATAATATTTAGATTAAATGTACATAAGTGCATTACGAATTGCATTTACTTTTAGTCTAATAACGGATCGTGTACATTTATTTATTAATAATAAACGAGAAGTATATAGTTTAAAATCGACAAAACTTTTTGTTTCAAACAAATCATGATTATTGTAGTCATTTGTATTATCACGTGATTTAACTTAGTTATTTTTTATAATTTAGTCAATTTGTAAAAAAATTATTTTTCTAATGTTTTATATTATTATATTATAATAAATAATTCATTTTATTCCATTAATCTTTAGCGAACTCTCTTATTCGCCTTGTGCAAGTAAACAAAAATAAAACGAAAAGTCACAACCAATTTTTATTATTTTTATCTTCATAATTTCATTTATTTTACTAAAAATAAAGATTTTCGCTTTATCTTTTAACCTGTGTACTTAAAAGAAGTTAAATAAAAACGCGAAAATTTTAAAAATATTACATTCTTAATTTTATTTCAGCAATTTTACAAAATTATAATCATAAAATATTACTAAATTATATTATAGTAATTTGAAAATCACATGCATCAGACGTAATAATGATCGTACAAGAAAAATTTTTTTCCTTCGCATGCACACTATGCATAATCATTAACTATCATTTCTGATTCTTCCTTACCCACTTCCATCATCATTTCCGATACTTCATCTTCCTCCCCCTCATCCGATACTTCTCCAGCAATAAATCTTGTAAAGTCTCCGTATATTCCCATAAACTCCAGAAACCGATCTCCAAACACAATGCCAGTTCTTGTTGTTAAGTCTCTTGAGACTCTTGAGGGAAGCTCGTTAACTTCATGTAAAAACTGCTTTACAGTAATCACTATAAAGCATTCACAACCCTCCGTAGCCTTCTTTAATTCTTTATTAAAATCTTCCAATGTAAACTCTCCTTTAGGTATTTCAAGGACAGGAAAACCTGTTTCAATAGCAGAACTGAATTTATACTGCTCATCTGCATGTGGTGTTAGTGAGTCGGATGATCCAATACGTCTACGAACCAACACGATGAAACGGCCTGTTGTGATATCTACATCTTCTACTTTGTCAATTCTAGCATCTGTGATAACAGATTTTTTTTACGGTCAATTAATTTATTCCAAGTGAATTCTTTCTTTTTTAAGATGGGCGCTGATCTATAATTTACATTAGGTTGTATGTCAATTGTCTTGGATAATATTTCATTTGATGCCAAGAGACACCAAAGTAAATTTCTTTAATGGTCATTTGATGAATTCTAATCAAATCCGCCAATCTGTAAGTAATCAGATGCATATGTAAAATGAATTTTGGGAAAGATTCTTCATCTAGTCGGATAAATGGATCTAAGACGATTTTATCAAAGAAATCTAACTCTAAGTATGAGACAAGAGATACAATTAATACAAGAAGGGCTTTAGCTTTATATTCAGTGTAATTAATCTTTTCTAAAAAAAAAATAAGACCCCGGCTTCATGATCTCTACAGTACTATCATTCAGAGCAATTTTCTTGGTGATCGGCTTTTGAGTATGGATCCAAAATATAAGCATCAATACGGCCTTTTTACGTTTTTCATCTGTAATGTCTTGTGGATTTTTTCTCCCTCCAACACAATCTAACCAATAATCAATTGAATACTTTCGCTTTGCCCAATTAACAAGAATTCTCCAAATTTCTTTGGCTTGTTCTGCCGTAGCAAAAGGTCTCTTCATTTTACAAAGCTCCAAAGCACACCGTTCCATAATAACTGCAATTCCTCTAACAGCACCAACTAAAATACGATACAATGGATTATTACGCGAAATTTGGTTTGTGATTTCATTGGAAGTTTTCATTTTATGATCTATTACAGAATCCATAAAATTAAGAGATTTTTCTATATTCATAGGTTACATATGTACATCATAAACATTGTAATCAGTCACGCTAAAATGTCCTGAATTATCGAATTTCTGAGCTTTATTGGAGCAGTACCTGTGTAAATAGGTACTATCAAAATTTTCATATCACAGACTTGTTGGTCTGCCACAAGTTGAGAGATGAAGCGCAAAATATTAGCTATTAAATATTCATCTCGTTGATATTCATCCAATTGCAAAAGTATTAAAAGTTTAAAAAAAAGGACGCAATTGCTAATGCCAAATAACAACCTACAAGATTACGTGTGATGAATCATGAGGATAACGTCCTGTAGATGGGTCACGTGGAGGACGTTTATCAAAATGAACGAGGGAAGATTCTGGAAAAATCTGAACAAATATATGAATAACTTCAAAACTACCATCATGAATTTGTTTCGGGCCTTTGATTATGTTAATCGTCTCATATCCATGTCGCGTTTTTCCAGTACCAGAACCACCTGAGATACTGATTCCCTGATAATAATGTAAACGAGAACTTCCATTCTCAAAGGCTTCTAAATTAATTTCTATTTTGTCTCGAATGAACTGTTGTATATGCGTCCTTTCGATGTATTTATTGACAGGTTTGTCTTTATTTCTAATTATTTGACCAGCTTCGATAAATCTTTTTATAGTAAGGGTTTGTTCTTCTGAGAATAAATAGTTGTGGGTTTAGATATAGACGACAGAAAATACTCAAGTCATTCAACTGCAGTTACCGTACCTTTTGTAACGCTTCGCGAAGAATCTGCTTTAACGCGAAAAAAGAGATCAGACCAAACTAGATATTTTGTTACAGCAAATTCCTTGTTCAAGAGGTAAAACATCGGGAGACACTTACCAGTGGAGGTGGGAACTATGAAAATATGAAGATATCCGGCCTCAGGCCTTTTGTCGTCGTCAGCATTAACATAATATGATTAAAATTCAACATGGGATCGTCATCAATCTTTTCGTTATCGTCACGATTTTTAATATCATCTTCGGTAGAAATGTTTTTAATTTCATGAAAGCCGAGTTTGACTTTCCAAACATTTATTTCGGTTATTCCACTTTTTTCAGATAAAGCTTCCTTGAATCCTGAAACAGTTAATTCATCAAATTTGACTTGTAAATCACGGATAGGACAGGAGCTTGTCCTAGTACCAAGCAGTTTAATGAATATAACATTATATTTTCTGTAAAAGCGATTAGTTTTTTTAGTGAAAGCTTGAGAGAAGTCTAAGGTATATATACACTTTATATACGCTTGTATAAACTTTTGGTGGCCTGTTGTGACGTAATACAGCAAAAAAAAAATAGAATAATCTTACGTAATTTTTATGTCGTAACGAGTGGTCGTACGAATGACCGTATTTGACTAAAAATATGTAGTAAGCACAAAAAAAGCTTCCATCGACTCACTTTAAAATAACTTTTAAAACCTTATTTTGAATTTCTGAGGTTATGTCGCAAAACAAGCCACAAAGTGTACTGGAATTTTTCATGATTATTACATTTTACAACCATAACTCATTCTTAGCATATCACAATGAATAATTTCGTCGATGCAATGTCTGTTTCATTACGACAAATTATTCGATGGGTTCAATATCGGAATTAAAGAATTTCAATCACTAAGCGTAAGACTTCAAATCCAATATCATCAGAATGATTAAAATCGGTACACAAAATTCCGGTTAATTCTCAATAATAACAATTTTTTTTTAATAGTTTTCAAAAAATAAAAGAGAATGTTACAATTTTAGCTCGAATACGAAAAGTACTGCGTTCATATTATTTCTATTTTTAATTTTTTTTTTTTTTTACAAGGTACAGCATATAATTTGTTTTCATTTGAATCATGTATTAAGAAATAATATCGGCTTCAATTAAAAATAAGTTACTAAAAAATGCAAATTCATCAATAAAGAAAAGAATAATATAAATTGCGAGTTAGGTTACATAACTCACCTAATAAGGCATAGAAAAATTTGTGTTCGGGTCGTGCTAATATTTTTATTTTCATAGATTTCTTTTTTTGAAATTTTCCTTCCTCTTACGTGAAAATTTTACGGTTGACTTTGCCTTGATTTTTTTTTTTTTTTAAAAAAAAATGTATCTTTTGGTGATATAGCAAGCTAGTTATTTTAAAGTAATGCGGGGCTACCTTAATTTTTTTTAAAATTTTTTTTAGAAAAGCGGTCTGTAAAGAATCCACTATATTCGATGAGGATAGATAAACACGCCCAGCATTTTTAAAAAAAATTCTTTCATAATATTTATGTTGACCCACCTGCCTGATAAATTCCTTGGCAATCAGATGTAACGCTTCTCTAGACGAAATCCCATACGACCTTTATTGTGACGTTTTTCTGGGAACAGTAATTTCTTATTCTTTTAATTTAATATTTTATAATATTTATTTTGACCGACTCCAAATTCAGAATCACGAAGGATCAGTGCAAAATGGTTTTTGAAGACTTGGTTTTATTTTTGTTGTACGTGTTAATGTAAGCATTTATATTGGCAAAGTATTGTTTACAGTGATTAGTCGTACCGATTTCTATCATGGAATTCAATTTTCTTTCTATACTTTTAATTTTTACGACCTTCCTTGCTTCTAAGATTGGTGATAAATAGAGGGTACAATAAAAAAAACCATCGACTCTTTGCTTGGTGCAAACCTTTTATTGTAATTTAAAAAATATATATATATAAAAATAAATCAAATACATGACTGCAAAATATTTACTGAACCTTCATTTAGAGCATGCTATTTTATTCATGTACGATTGACTTTGTTAATCGAAGAAAATTCTTACGGTTACTATATTAATTAGAATATTGGGAGGTAAGCTATTAAAATCACGTTACGGATCATATGATTTACTATGTTCGTAACTCGATTTTAATAGCAAACATCCCATATAATTCAAAATTTTTTTTTTTTAAAGAAAAAATCCTATTAAGAAATTTTAATTTTTTTTTGGATGGTCTGGAACGTCGATGTTTTTTTTTTTTTAAAAAAAAAAAAAAAGAATCGAGCAATGAAACAAAAAGGATGAAACGTTCACATAATTCGAAAATTTGCTAAAACACGTCCAAACAATCATTAAAACTTTAGATATTATCGGTGATCTGAATATAAATTTATTTTATTACGATCTAAATCAGACAGTTTTTTAAATTCGTTTTGAAAATAATGTAGATCAAACGGATGAAAAATACTGTAAATTGTTCTGCCAATTCGCTGCCGAAAGCAAATATCAAAATCCATGAATAAAAATAGATCATTGATAAAAATAAATGTTAATCGTCTACAGGAATATCCTTTTTTAATTCGATTATCGTTAGAATTTTCGAAAAATCTATGGATGTGAATGAGAAAATTCTTATTTGTCGATGGTTGCACCAATACACCACTACAGGGGTAAAAGTTTGATTATCTAACTTACGTATCGAGTCCTGTTATTAATACGCCATCAATAGTCGCTGTAACTTTATCATGAAATGATCTAAAAATTAATCGGTTTCATCAAAGATTAGCGTTAATCCAAGTTTAGAGAACGTAGATATAAATTATTGTTCGAATGAGCGTCTAAAATATTAAAACCTTAATCCCCCCTGAAATTTCATGCATGTTAAATTACCAAGTTGCCGCCATAACTTTAAAACTAAGACAATCCCTCATCACAATTATTTCTAAAATTAAAAATCCTATTGTTTAATAATGACCTACACTCGCACAAGCATTCCTAGAATAAAATTACGATCAAATAATGGGTAAAGTTACCAATTATGGTAAATAAGTAAACCGAGGTTGATGCATGCACATGTTGACGTAGTACAGTATCAGATTCGGGTATAATAAAATAACCTACTTATTTGAGAATACTTATTTTGAGAGCATAATCAACATTACACATAAAACATATCTCAAGTATTATTCGAGATGTCAAAAATCTTTTTTATTTTTTTCAATAATACCTATTTTTAAAACGAAATTTGAAAAAAAAAAAATTTAAGCTTAGTATTGTTATGTACCTACCGCAGTAATGCATGAATTATGAAATAAGAAATCTTGAAATAATATAAAATGTCTTGTTTATCTGGGCATAATTTTTTTTTTTTTCTTCAGACCCTTTTAAAGCAATTAAAAAAAAAAAAGGCTCCATTGTTTAATCTAATAACATAAAGATTTATAAATTCTGGAAATTTATATTTCTTCCTAGTTAATATTTCGATTTTTTTTTTTTTTAAAAAAAAAAAGATATTTTGATATCAAAACCTGTACATAATATTTCCAAAAAAAAAAAATTTATCTTAACGAAATAATTCATTCTACCTTACTTTTTATATATATTTAATTTTCAATAATGGGAAACGAGACTTACTTAAACACAGCTGCGAGATACATTGAAACCCAACAATTGAACTCAAAATGTCAACATTTATTACGATACCTGGACAGCGATGGATGGTGTAAAAAATGTACAATGAAATCTGTATCCAGCGGTCATATGGGAATCGATAAATTTATCAAACGAACTCAAAGCAAAGCAAATAATTGGTCGGATCCTTATTTGGAATGGATTCCTTACGATCAATTTCAAGATGTAAAAGAAGTCGGTGAAGGAAATTTTAGTGTGGTTTATTCCGCCACTTGGATTCAAGGAAGGTTGGTGTGATCTTTGCTTACTATGGCAATGCTTGCATGCAATGCGTCATTGATGTGTTACTAATGTTTGAATTTCTTTGATTGGTTAAAATAGTAGGCTTGATGGTTTTACTATGTCACGTAAAAGTCGAATGCAATGCCCGCGTAGCGATGCGATCACCGTGGCGCTTAAACGCATTAAAGATTCTCAAGAAATGACCGATGGTTATATTAAACGGTTAAAATCTTATTATCGATGTAGTTTGTCTTCAAAAAAAAGGGAACAATCTTCGTTGAAATTTTATGGTTTAACTCGTGATCCTTCTAACGGAGAGTATATGTTGGTCATTCAATATACGGCACATGGAAATTTACGTACTTTATTAAATACGAACTTTTCTTCATTTCATTGGTCCGAAAAAATTTGGTGGCTTTGTGATATAGCTTCAAGTTTGCTCACCATTCATAAATCTGGTCACGTTCATGGTAATATTCATCCGGGAAATATTTTACAATTGGGAATTAATCAAAGAGAAACTTCGTCGACCTTGACTGATGCTGGATTATCTTTACCCGCAAATCATTATTCAACAAAGATTAATCATAAAAGAGACGTTTATGGGGTTCTACCTTATATGGCACCTGAAGTGATCCTTGGACATCCCCCTACAAAAGAATCGGATATCTATAGTATAGGAATGTTAATGATCGAATTATCAAATGGTTTACCCCTCTTTTCAGATCGTAAACATGACTCTCAATTGGCCTTGGAAATTGTTAAAGGTTCCCGTCCACAAATTTCTCAAAGTTTACCGCATGTTTACATCAGATTAGCATTAGATTGTTGTAATACGAATCCCTCATCACGTCCAAATGCTAAAGAATTATTATATGTTTATAGTGATTGGTGGAAATGCATCAATAATGCTGGTGATAAATTATATCAAGTACAAAAGGCTTTTATGGACGCTGATGAGGTTTTACCAATGTTGGAACTTGTCAAGATGAATACTCGCGTAAAAAATTCGGATGCTTTTTATACTAGTAGATTACTAAATTTTGAAGATGTATTAAAAAGAGAAAGCTATTTTTCTATAAATTCTGATGACGAAGTTATAGAATGACAAATCCATGTACTGTACAAATATCATGTATCATATTATTTATTTATTTATTCCTACTCGTATTCCTAAAATAAATTTGTCGGATATGATCTTGAATAAATCAAAGCTACTGCAACGTTAATTAATGACCAAAAAAAATATTGTTAATGTCTTTTTTTAGTTTAATGATGTAAATGTGTTTGTGTAATTACGTTTCGGAGTAATTATTTTCCCAAATTTGAAACTTGTCAGAGGTGATCTTTTTTTTTCATTTTCACCCCCGAAACCAAACCCTAATTTGGAAACGCTTTGTAGATCAAATCTAGATCAAATTCATAAACTGATTATGCCCAATAAGGAAATATACATGTTCTGCAAAGATCATGAAGATCCCAGAGGTAACAGTCCGTGACATAAATATCCGGAATTTTATCGGTAGCACAAAAAAAGTCCCTATACCACCAATTTATGTCTGACCAAAACAAAAATCAAAATAGCAATTTTTTAGCTATTTATAGATATAAAAATAACGTCACAAAAATTTCATGTGATTATTTATTAACAAAAAACTTAATCCATGGCGCCCATTTCAGTTTTTGAAACAAGACGTTTGACTGTAAAGGAATTATGGGTTAAAAACATACGAAAACCCTCTGAAATAATTAAAATAACTGGTTATTTAAGCTCTACTGTATATGATATTGTCAACCAGTTAAAAAAAACTGGAGAAGTTGAGCACTTACCTTGTCCTGGTCATCCTCTTGTTCTTATTCCTAACAAACGTCGATATCTTGGTCATCTCGTCCAAGTTAATAATGCAATATCTTCATCTTTAATGATAACGAAACTGAATAATATTTATTCGGACCTTAATATATCAACTTGGACTGTCCAACGCATCCTTAAAAATAAACTTAATTATGTGATTTGTAGGCCAAAAGCTGTTCCTCTCCTTAAACAAAATCATATCGAAGCACGTCTTCAGTGGGCTTTAAGGCATAACCAAGATGATTTGTCTCATACAATTTTTTCAGATGAAAGCACTTTTCAAACATTTAGTAACACTCTATTAGTACGCTACAAAACTGGTAATACACGTCCATCACGTCCTATGGTAAATCATCCATACAAAGTGCATGTTTGAGGTGCATTTTCTCATCAAGAACTGATTGGGATTGAATTATTTACAGGAAATATGAATTCTGAAAAATATTGTGAAATTCTTCAATCCCAGCTTATTCCTAATGCTCACAGTGCTGGCTACGGTAGCGCTTCCAACAAGATAACGCACCAACCCATACAGCAGGACGCACTCAACAATTTTTCACAGCGAATAATGTTCCAGTGATCGATTGGCCTGCAAACTCCCTTAATTTGAATCCAATTGAGAATTTATGGGTCATTCTTAAACGAAAAGTGGAGAAAAGGGTTAATAATTAGATTAGGAAAAAAAAGTACTTAGTACAGTTGCTTTTCAGAGAATAATTCGGCAGGAATAGAACAGTTTTGATCAAAATGTTTTCTTTAATTTGGTGGATAGTATGTCAGATCAGATTAATGAAGTTATAGAAAAAAAAAAGGCTTACAATTAATTATTAATTTTTTTTATTTTGTTAATCTGTATATTATAATCTACAAATAGTATAAATATGAAACTAATAAAATAAGATTTACAATATTTTTATTTGTCGCGATAAATTCCAAATATTTATGTCACAGACTGTAGGTCTCAGCACTGGCATAAATCGACTCTTAGAATGTAATAGGATGAGATAGCGAAGTAATATATTTTGAGTACCATTGATATCCCGATTAAGCTCAGCTGCACAACTGGGATAACAGAACACTTTGGATCCACCTAATTTTCGATGGATATGATTACAGCACCCACATATCTTACTAGTATATTCTTTAGTACATATAATTATCTGATACCATGAATGCTCACGAACCTTATGTAGAAGAAATTGCAGAATCAGAAGTGGAACTATGTTAATATCATCTGTGTAGTCTTAGAATGAATCTGCCATTTTTCACGTATAACTATTCCCAGTGTCTTAAACTCAGGCAATAAAATAATATGATAATATTGATACAGCCATTTGGCAAGTTTATAGTGGCAATCATTAATAAGACAATGGATTTTTTTATGTATACAAATCATGACCTTTGTAAAGCTTGTATCATTTTCGTTTGTGTACTTTTTCATGAATAGAGTTATGCTTGTTTTGGATTTTATCATACATCTGAGAAAGCTGATAAATTCTATTAATATCATTTTTTTCCCATTTAATAGCTTTTTCACTTAAATCATAACCAGTCATGAATGTACGCATATCTGGATTCAAAGCAATTACTCATCATTAATTAAATGATTAAATGGAAAGTAAACTATTATAATCACATTATGGATCATATGATTTACTATGTTTATAACATAATTTTAATAGCAAACCTCCCAAATTAATATTATTAAAATTTTATTCAATATTATTGTATAATGATATAAATATATAAGATTATTTAATAAAATAAATAAAACCCTTTTCTTGCATTCCTAAAAATAAAGGACCTTAGTTTTCAGTTCATATTTCAAGTAATTTAAGTATGCAAAGGTAAAATTCTCTAAGGCAATTTACAACAAGATGACTATCATATTCAAGTTGATTTAGAAGAGTTTCTTGCTGATTTGATTTTGTGAAGAAATGCATATTCACCACTAAAAATTTTTAAAGATTGGATCTTTGCATTATTGAGTAACCTTAAAAATACAATATCAGTATTTTAACTCTAAATCATTATTATTATAATATACAAGGTGGAATTAATACCATTTACACTATTATCCTAAGTAATTATAGAAAAATGGCATCTTTGCTAAATATTTCTTGATATTCATTGAATAATTATTCAACTATAAAAGCAACTACATGTTTACTTTCACAGATTTTAGATTCTTTCCTTTAGTTTTTCAAAAGGGAAGAATTTTACAGTAATATATTACTATTTAATGAACTCTCAATATCAATATGTGATAACAATTACCATCAGATAAATCATTTTCTCATAATTTAAGATACAGTTACTCTCTGGCATCTCCTTATATTAATACCTGAAAACTAATCTAAGTCTTAATAATGTAGTATTCGATCAAATCATAAAAATTGAGAAAAGCTTTATGTCTGTCAAACATTTATTTTACTTGATTAATATTGATAACAAAGTAATTTTACAAGACTGTGATGGTTGTGTTCTCAATATTACTATAATATTTAAGCATAATTAAGTGAAGTTATCTAATAATAAGTGTATACTGACAATACCTATTAAGTCCTATATAGAAATTGCTATTCATAATAATAAAGAGGATTTGGTCTATTTATAGTCCTTACCTCTTTTAAAAGAAATATCTTTTTATTCTTATTTAAAAATCAATTTTTCATTTATTATATCACCTCTTATTATATTTCACTATCCTATACTTTTTTTCTTAATCTCACAGTTTATCACTTTTACCCATTTGAATAGATTATTAACTCTTTTCAACAGTTCTTAGTTACATTAATTTTAGAATTTTTTTACAGACGGTTTACTTTCTAGCTTCAGTTCTTTCTTAATCAAAATGGGTCTTACTTGATTAAAAATGTATTTAGATTTATTAATAGTTTCTTTTATGATTACTTTTATCACTTTCTTTTCTTCTTCTTTAGCTACAAAGTTAGCAGCTATTTTTACTGCAATAATTATCACTCCTGTCAATTATTAAATGATTATTAAAACTGATTCATAAGTGATCATTTAATAATTCTAATTCAAAAGAATTCTGATCATCTTACTATTAACTTACTCTTTTTGAAAAGTAATAATTTTCCTTTATGATTTAGTCTATTTAATATCATTAAGTCTCAGAATTTTGATATCTGATTCCTTAAAGTCAAAATACATTCAAATGATTTATTTAATTACAAAATTGACTAGTTAGCAAAAAATTGCTACAATTTCAAAGCTCTTATATTTGACATATAATATTTAGATCAATTTTATTATCAATATAAAGAAGTGAAAATTTTGATTTCTATTCATTTATTCATAAAATACATATTGCACTTCATAGTATTTAATAAATTTAAACAATTACACTTAATTAATAGATATAAACAATTTTCTGTTAATTAGTCTGCTATTATCTTTATATTAATAATAATATTACTTATGTTTATACTTCATATAAAGCCTTGATCATTAAAAAAATTCAAAGATTGTTAGAAATACTTTCCACCATATAAGTTTTAAAATCATTATACCTTAATTTTTTTCATTCATTTTGGCTTTATTTTGATATAAATGTGCAGATAAATCCTTCAACTACATTTAAAAATATCCTATTTTCTGATTCAAAATGTAAGCTATTATTACAAATTCTCAACAATTTTTCTATGATTTAACTAAAGCTTATGACTTTATCTCAAACCTTTATAATTTGCTAATATGACAATTATTTTTTTACAATTATCTTGCTTTTTTAGTTTTAATTAAAGAAATTATTCCTCAAACATTCATCAGGAAATTTAATATAGTATAAAGTTGTATAAAACATATAAATTTGTATAGATTATACAAATTTACAATCAAAGTATTTTGTAATTTTTGTGAAATGTAATAGTTATATAATAATATAGTTAATGTATTCTATAATATTAACAAACTGTATAATTTATAAAAGTTTACATTCAAAATATTTCGTAAATTTGTATTTCATTATAATTATGATATACTACTAAACAGAATACTCTGTGATATTTATAAACTGTATGATTTACAAAAGTTTACAGTTAAATAATTTCGTAATTTTTGTGGTATTTTATAATTATGATATATTACTAAATAGAGTATTTCATAATATTTACAAACTGTATAATTTACAAAAGTTTATGGTTAAAACATTTCATAAGTTTGTATTACATTATAATTATAATGTACTACTAAACAGAATACTTCATAATATTTACTTTATAAATATT